GCAGGTAATGGTTCCCTTCTGAGGCAATTTCTCCTCATCAGCGCCTCCTCTTCTTCCTTTGAGGCTGATGCACACGGCTCATCCTCTCAACAACAGCACATCAGGGCTCATTCTTCTCTAGCATTTTGCTTCACCTCTCTTTTCCTCCTCCATCTCTTGCCTCTTGCTTAAAGCCCTTACAAAGGAGTAACAAAACCTTAGGTGGTCTATGTGAACTTCTTGCTCGTAAGGGCTCCCAGCCAGCTAGCCTTTAATCTTTTGCCCTTCTCTTTGAGCTTTCAGCTACAGCTGTACTCTGATGGAACATTTTCTGAGTGAGCTGCAAGAGCGAATTAATTTTAGCCTATGCTAATAAGAGAAGGATCATATAAAAGCACCTCGTTTCTGAAGGGAGGCTGGAAGAGCTATTTTTTTAATAGGTCTTCATACATAAATGCCTAATTACAGCTATGTCAGGTGAAAAAAGTCATTACATCAAACAGTCAGCCAGCACTAAGAGAAAAGATTCTGTAACAGCACAATTGAGGATTCACTCCTGAAATGGTGACATTTGGAATGAATGTCAAGAAGTGGGTACATTTAAGGAAAAAATAGATAATACTGTAAGAAAGAGTTCTGAGTGAATTAAAAAACAGAAACTTTAAAGCTTGTAACCAATTGTTATGGCTCTTGTCTAAAGCATATTTCCTATTGGAAGCAAGATATAATTTTGATGTAAATAGGCAAACCTTCATTGGGCCATCTCTAAAACCGGTGGGAATTTATTACCAGGGACTTAAAAACAAGAATATAAGGATGTATTGAATTGAAGGACTCACTTTAACTGCAAAGAGCTCTTTATGTCAGATCATAACAGACTGGGCTGTTGAAATGTTCATTAAAAAATAAATAAAACCTAGTTTAGACTAATCTCCCAGCCTCAAACCCACCCCCCCCATCTGCCCTAAAGGTCATGTCTGACCATGTCAGCCCCTAATTCTGTTGCTCCCCGTTGTCTCTGCCATTTAACACTCGTCTCCCTCCTCTCTTTCCATACTCATTGCACAAGAGCCCCCTCCATGCATTCTATGATCCAGGCACATGGGCCCATTTGCCATTCCTCACATATCCATGTCCCATCTTGATTACTTTGCATTTTCTGTCTCCCATGCCTGGAACACACAACTTCTACACTTGTTTCTGGGAAATTCTGTTCTTCAAGCCAGTACAAGCACCTCTTGCACAAGGCCTTTGTTGGTCCCCACTCCGGCCCCAGTTGTAGACCTTTCCCCTCCAAGTTCACCTTGCATCTCATTTATATGTTAATCAGCAATCATTTATTAAACACCTTCTATGGGTCAGGCATTGTGTTATATGCTGATGATACAAAGAAAGGCCAAAGACAGCCCCCGCTCTCAAGGAACTTATGACTAATAGAGGAGAAAGCATGCGTATTGAATAAAGTTGGTCAGTTCTGCATTTAAGGACCAAACTGACAGATGAGTGAAGGGTGGATGGGGGTGGGGAGAGATTGGAGACAAGGAGACTGACCAAAAGGCCATTATGAGCACGAGATAAGGAGGGCGTCCCCAGTGGTGGTATGTCCGAGGAGAGAAGAGGGCACAGAGGAGAAATGTTATGAAGTTATAAACAATATAACTCAACAATCAATTGGTTATGGGGTGGGGAGAGAGAGTGAGGAGATGAAGATGACACCTAAGTTTCCAACCTGCATGACCAGAAAGCTGGTGATCCTCTCTACAAGAGGACAGTTGGGAAGAGGGGAGAGGCAGAGAGGGAGGGAGATAAGCCCAATGTTGGGTGTGTTGAGTTTAAGGTGTCTACAAGGCACCCAGTCTAGATGCAGCTTGTGCTGCAAGACTGGATATTGAGAGAGGGGTCGGGGAGATGAATGAGTCCGAGAATTGTCTGTGTAGAGATGGTGATTGAATACATGGGAGCTGATGAATTCGCCTAGGGAAATAGTATAAAGGGTGAACAGAAGGTGAATAAAATAGGGTCAAAGAAAACAGGGTAGTACCATTTGTATTTTCTTATTGTTTGGAAGATCACGTGAGCAAATTTATGCGAAGTGATTCACAAATCGTACATTTCCACATGAAAGTTGAATATTGTTATTCGCTTCCAACCAAATGAAAGCTGGGATTTTCTGTGGGTTTCAGTCCTAGGTCAGCCTTGTCTTTGGGAGAAGGGATGGACAAACTGTGCAACCCATAAGCTTAATTCTGAATCTTTATAGGGAAAAAGTTACTTTAAAACATTTCCCCTTTTAGGGGCAGCCAGGTGTAGCAGTGGATAAAGCACCAACCCTGGAGTCAGGAGGACCTGAGTTCAAATCTGGCCTCAGACACTTGACATTTGCTAGCTGTGTGACCCTGGGCAAGTCACTTAACTCCATTGCCTAGCCAAAAACAAAAAAAAATCTCCCCTTCTAATTCTAGGTAACAATAGCTGTATTCTCTTGTAAGATTCTAAAGTACTTGCCAAATATTCTAAGCTCACAAAAAACTCTTCAAATAGATTTTATTCCTATTCAAGGAATGTTGAATTGTTCTAGATAATTCTGACATACCTTTATGGACTGAAAAGGACACCAGAAATATTGTCCAATCCATCACTTCGCAGACAAGAAAACTGGCCTCCGGAGAGATTAGCAAATGCCTTTTCCAAGTCCCTAATTCCTGCTCTTGGCAGAACCAGGACTAGACTCTTTGTCTCTGGATTCTCCTTATTATTTCTTTCCCCTAAGCCACATTGGATTGAAGCCTTTCTTTCAGCAGTAAAGGCTTTCTTGGTATTTTAAAACAAAACTAAGAGGACCCTGCACTTCATTGATAGCCCAATGTGGTTTCGGTAAAGCTCATATTTTGACAATTGTTCAGAAGGCCAACATTTCATAATTAATAGATGTTCAGCTGAAAGGCTGACCTTCTGAATGGATGGGCAAGTGCAAACTTAGAAAAAAATCCACTTTGGACTATTTATTGAAGCCTTGGAGCAGTTATCTTTTGGAATGAAGTACATCTTGGAACTGTGCCTTGGAAATTGGCTCTCTATGTGAGCATTTCACAAAGTCCTTTTAAAATAAAAATTCATGCTAAGTCTTCCATTTGAGCGTTATGCTAAATTTAAAATATGAAACTTTCTAAAAGGGCTCTCATCTACCTTGATCTCTGCCACATCCTGTTAAGGGTCTCAAAGGTCAAACTTTGGGGAATCAGAAATCATCAGGTTTTTTTTCACATGAATGATTCTTAAATTTTCCTTCCTGACTTAATCTGAAAGAGCCCCTGTGCAGATTTCTTCCTGTCCCTTTGCATTCCTTGTTTGGGCCAATTAGCCCAATTGGTTAAAACAGGTTTTTGATGACGATCTGGTCATGGATTTGACATCACGTTGGTCATCTGGAAAGTTCTCAAGAATACCAGTAATACTTCATTTAGAACCAGTACTATTATGCATAAGAGTAAACACACCAAAATCTACTGGGCCAGTACAAATGTATCCTAAACTCTTGGAGAGAAAAAAAAGAATATACAAGGCACAAGGCCACTGATTGTGGATCAGCAATATTGTTTTTATATACAGAGTTGTGGATCCCATGTCATCAAGATTTTCAGATTCAATAGGAAAAAACCCTACTCGTCTCCCTGCACTCTCCAGAAAACCCAATTACTATAACAAACATTTCTCAGTCCATGAAGGACAATCACCATTTTAGTTCTCTTTTCAAGTGACAGAGAGGATAATTTCTACAAGCTTCAGAAATGAAAACCATAAGATTCAGCAGGAAGATTCAGGAATTATATGTGGAACATTTGAACAGGAATCAGAAGGCATGGATCCTAACTCATCCTTATATGCATTCTCTGTCTTTAATTTAATATGTGATATTAGGCAGAACATTTTAACCTGTTTGATCCTCAGATAGATTTTTTGTTTTGTTTTTTATTGTTTTTCCTTTGTTAAATATGGTGGTTGGATTAAGCTTTGAAATTCCATGAGATGAGAAAATAGGAGCAGTTGTATTATTATAAGGGGAGGTAATATGATTATTTTCATGGAAGAATGAGTGGATAGATGGATGGATGGATGGATGGATGGATGGATGGATGGGTGGGTGGAAAAGCATCTGTCAAGCATTTTCTATTTGCAAAGCACTGTGAGATAAAGAGAAAGTCAAGAGAATCCCTACTGTCAAGATTTCACATTCTGATATGGGAGACAACATAGATTTTCAGCTATAAGTCAGAGAAAAAAGCAGATTGGTCTTTAGGGTACAGCAAAAAAATCAGATAATTTATCTTCTTTAATATAATTTCCTTTGATAAAATCACTCCTATACAGAATGCGGAACCATTCAAAAATTCCAAGAACTTTGATGTTGCTTTTTGGTTTTAGGTATTTCTGTAAGCTGTTTATAAGCTTTGAGGGAGATGGGACTGTCACATTTGATGAGAAAGTTGCTAGGTCAAGTCAAGGATTGCTTCTCCAGTCCATGGCTTCTGGAGTAAACTGAGAGCAGAATTGGTGGTGGGGGCTGAAAGGATTGATATTGCTGGGACTTTTGAACTGCCTTGCAACTAATGGCTCGGCATTTGGGGCTGATGGTGTCAGGGATGGAGTGGCTCTCCTCAAGATGTGTATCCTGTATGCACTATCCCCCCAAAAGAACTGACTGTGCCCTGAGGAAATTGGTGAAGAGGAAAAATAGCATTGTCATCACTGTCTTGACTAGCTGCTCTGAATACCAGAAGCATGATACCTGGCACATAGTAAATACCTAATAATTGCTTTTCCATGGATTGATTCATTCACTTTGAGATGGAAAGTTGGTGGGAGGAACTATTAATTTTGAGCTACTTTTTCATGAAAGGCAATGGATTCATCACCTCCGGTTACATGTTTTACAAGGACGTGGTAGGTGTAAGCTGAAACAGCAAGGGTTTGTATCATCTGCAGAACTGACATGGTCTTCTCTTGGATGCCCCCTTTTCTAGGCTGCTGACATCCTGCTACAGCACGGAGCCTATGTAAATGTCCAAGACGCGGTCTTTTTCACCCCTCTACACATTGCAGTGTACTACGGTCATGAGCAGGTAAACTGGTCATCATTTTGTGATACAGTTCTCCATTACTTTGGTTCTCTTGGAAAAGATGGGGTAAGGACCACTGAGGCAAAACATCTGGACATAAATATAGTGATGTGGATGATTAGCATCACTGTTCTGCCCTGTCCCCTTCCCAGGAACTCAGGCTACTCTGAAGCTACTGCCAGTCTTTCCCCATCCTTGCACAGGTCAGTCATTCAGTCAGTAAGTGTTTATAAAGGGCCTTCTATATCCTAGTCACCGTGCTAAGAGCTAGGGATGCAAAGAGGCAAAATATGTTCCATGTTCTTGAGGAGTTCCTAGTCTGACAGGGGAGACAAGACACAAACAACTGTATGAGCAGTATAAAGTTGGAGATCATAAACCAAGGGGATGGTAATATTAGCATTAAGGTGTACACAGAAATGCACAACACACACACATGTGTGCACACACACACATGCACACATGCACATGCATGCACACACACACGCACATACGCACACACATACACACGAGCACACCCGCAGGCACACACACACGTACATACACATACATACATGCATCACCCCCACCTCCATGTGACTCTCCTCATTATTGCAGTAGATTCAGATGCCCTTGAAAAGGAGGAAAGACAGACTCACAACATAATACTTGAACCACAGGGTGGAAGGGGCTAGTCATTAGATTGAGAGGGACCTAGATGTCCCAGGAAATGTATCTCCATTGAGAGGAGCTATTGGGTCACCTCACCGTGCAAACACACTGAGGAACCTTTCCTAGAAGCCATGGGAAGGAGGACAGTGCCAGGGATAATCCCCAAGGCCTTCAGGCCCTTTTGAACATTGACTAACTTCAAAGGGCTTCCTGGGAAGTGGGGCTATGATTTCAGCTTCTTCTGTCCAACAATCCTTCATAATGCCTTTTGCATTCCATGAACTCAGGTAGCTTTCCGAACCTGAATAGCATTTGACAGACCTGAAAATTCAGTGAGAGGGACAGCGCTACCTCCTGTCTGCCCATAGGTCAGATTGCTGGTGCTGAGAAGCCTCCCCAAAATGCACGGAGTCCACCATTCTCACCTCACTTCAAACAAATTGAGTAGAAGTGGTGAATTAAGTATGCTTTCTTGTGGTCAGTCTGAACTTAGAGTGAGTACGGACGCGCGCAAACATTCCAGTTCATCAAACGTCTCTTCATCTCCGTCACTTAGGAGAACGTGCAGAATGCAACAACTGAGAAATGCTTCCATTCAGCTGTCACGGACAATCACCCAGATGATGCTAGCAAGGAAACCTCGCCCGTCTTCACTGCATTCCACTTCAGGCGTTAGTGCCTAGTTATCCAGATGAATTTCTCGGCTCAGATTTTCACTTTGCGTGGGCAGACGCAGTCATCAGGAGATATCACCATGCCATTTGGTGAAATGAGAAAAGACTTGGACTCACAGTCTGCCATCTTCCGTATGAAACCGAATACCCCACCCACCCATCCACCCACCCATCCATTATACTTCCCGATTCACTTGGATGTTCTGTGACGAAAGCGAGAGTAGTCAAAGCTTTCTCCTTGGAATTTACCTTAAACTGTAAGTAAGCGAATAAGGAAATACAAGCCAGGTCAAACCCCAAAGACCAGTCTCCTGGAGAACAAAATCAGAATATGCTTTGCCATTCCCATTTCATCCTTCTCCATTTATGTCTTTGGTTTACTTAAGGGTAGTCTGCTGTCTTTGGAAACAGACTTCACTTCCCTTCAGGAGAATCCTAGAGTGAAGAGCAAGCCTCTCTTTGTGTACTTGACTGTTCCTTATTGCTTTTGCCACCAGAAACAGGCACATGCTTGGGCACTTTCAGTCCTGGGAAGCATAACCTCCAGCCAGAGTTGATTTCTCATCTCAGTGATGTGTTACTTAGAGCACTGAAGAGTCAGGTATTGAAAATGAAGTGGAATGGGGTGGAGCCAAGATGGTGGAGAAAAGCCAGGACGTTTCCTGAACTCTCCCCAGTTTCCTTCCGAAACAACTTTAAATCAAGCCTCTAAAAGAATTCTGGACAGAATCTACAAAAAGACAGAGTGAAACAGTTTTTCTGCTTAAGAGAACTTAGAAGGATTTCAGGAAAGGTCTGCCTCACTTGGGTGACAGGAAAGAGCAGCCCAGTGCAGGCACTGTCCGGGCAAACCAGTGGGATACTGTTAGCACAGCACAGATCAGCCACCGAGGCTCTGTGAGTCTGGCACAGCAGGCCAGTTGTGAGGCCTCCAGCCCCAGTGCAGCAGGCAGACTGCGAGCCTCGGAATCCAGGGCACAACAGGTATGACTAGGCCAGGCCACCCTAGTGCAGTACATAAGCTACCAGCCCCATAGGCCCCAGATCAGAAAGCCAGTGGCCAGATCCCTAGCCCCCAGTGCAAGAAGTTTGGGACAGTGTCCCCTGTACCCCAGGAGCAAAGCTCAACTTTTAAAAATGAGCGTAAAACAAAAAAGAGCCCTGACCATAGAAAGATTCTATTGTGACAGGGAAGATCAAAATATTAACTCAGAAGAGGACAACACTGTCAAAATGCCTACATGTGAAGCCTCAAAGGGGAATATGAGTTGGTCTCAAGGCCAAAAAGTCCTCTTAGAAGAACTCAAAAAGGATTTGAAAAACTCAAGAAAGAGAGGCAGAGGGAAAAAAAATGGGAGAAAATGAGAGTTACAAAGGAGAACTATGGGGAAAAAAAGAGTCAACACCTTGGAAAAGAAAGCACAAAAATTGACTGAAGAAAACAATTCCTTTAGAAGTAGAATTTGTCAAATGGGAAAAAAAAAGGTACACAATCTAACTGAAGAAAATAATTCCCTAAAATTTGGGCAAGTGGAAGCTATGAGACATCAAGAATTAAACAAAATCAAAAGAATTTGTGAAAATAGAAGAAAATGTAAAATAACTCATTGGAAAAACAACTGACCTGGAAAGTAGATCCAGGAAAGAGAATTTAAGAATTATTAGACTATCTGAAAGCCATGATAAAAAAAAAAAAGAGCACAGGCAACATATTGTAAGAAATTATTAAGGAAAATTTCCCAGAAATCCTAAAACCAGAAAGTAAAATAGTCATTGAAAGAATCCATCAATCACCTCCAGAAAGAGATCCCAAAATGAAAACTACAAGGAATATTGTGGCCAAATTTAAGAAGTCTCAGGGCAAGGAGAAAATACTGCAAGGAGCCAGAAAGAAGCAATTCAAATGTCAATGAGCCGCAGTCAGGATAACATAGGATTTATTGAAGGGACTGGAATATGATGAAGGCAAAAGAGCTTGGATTACAACCAAAAAATAAACTGTCCAACAAAACTGAACATAATCTTTCAGGGGAAAAGATGGATATTCAATACAATAGGGGACTTTGAAACTTTTCTGATGAAAAGACCAGAGCTGAACAGAAAATTTGATCTTTAATTACAAGACTCAAGAGAAGCATAAAAAGGTAAACAGAAAAGAAAAAAAAAACATGTGGAATTCAATAAGGCTGAACCATTGACATGCTTTCATGGCAAGATGAAACTTGTAACTGTATCTCTATTAGGGCAATTAGAAGTATACTTAGACAGTGGGTGTGGGTATAAATTGACTTTGATGTGATGATAAAAAGCAAATTAAGGAGTGAAAAAGGATTGTACTGGGAGAAGAGGAAAGGGGGAGGCAGAATGGGTAAATCATATCACATGAAGAGGCATGAAAGATTTATTACAGTAGAGGGAAAGAACGGAAGGGGTAAGCATTGTTTGAACCTTACTCTCATTGGATTTGGCTCAAAGAAAGAATAACATACATACTCAGTCAGGTAGAGAGATCTATCTTCCCTTATAGGTAAGGAGGGCAAAGTATATAAATAGGAAGGGAAAGGGGAAAGAAAAGGAGGGTATGATAGAAGGGAGGGCACATTGGGGGAGTCAGTGGTCAGAAGCAAAACACTAGTGAGGAGGGGCAGGGTGAAAAGAGAGAGAAAAACATAAAAATGAGGGAATAGGATGAAGGGTAAAACACAGTTATGAATCATCACTGTGAATGTGAATGAGATGAATTCTTCCACAAAATGAAGGCAAAGAGCAGAGTAGATTAAAAACCAGAATTCTACCAGATATTATTTAAGAAACACATTTGAAGCAGAGAGACACACACAGAGTAAAGGTAAAAGGCTGGAATAGAATATATGATGTTTCAACTGAAGTAAAAAAAAAAAGTGGGGGTAGCAATCCTGATCTCAGACAAAACAAAAGGGAAAAAAAATAGATCTAACTAAAAGAGACAAGGAAGGAAATTACATCTTACTAAAATATATCATATACGGTGAAGTAATATCAATATTAAACATACATGCACCAAATGGTATAGCATCCAGTTTCTTAAAGGAGAAGTTAAGTGAGTTACAGGAAGAAATAGATAGCAAAACTATACTAGTGGTGGATCTCAACCTTCCCCTCTCAGAACTAGACAAATCTAACCATAAAATAAATAAGAAAGAAGTTAAGGAGGTGAATAGAATTTTAGAAAAGTTAGATACGATAGACTGAATAAAGAAAACTGAGTGAGGATAGAAAGGAATGTAACTTTTTCTCAACAGTACATGGTACCTACACAAAAACTGACCATATATTAGGGCATAAAAACCTCACAGTCAAGTGCAGAGAAGCAGAAATATTAATCTTTTTCAGATCATGATTAGATAAAAATTACACATAATAAAGGACCATGGAAAGATAGATGAAAATTAATTGCAAACTGAATAGTCAGATCTTAAAGAATGAGTGGATCAAACAACAAATCACAGAAACAATTGATGATTTCATCAAAGAGAATGGCAATAATGAAACAACATACCAAAATTTATGGGATGCAGCCAAAGCAGTATTTAGGGGAAATTTTATATCTCCAAATACTTACATGGATAAAAGAGCTGATCAATGAACTGGGCATGCAATTTAAAAAGCTAGAAAACAACAAATTTAGAATCCCCAGTTAAGTACCAAATTAGAAATTCTGAAAATCAAAGGAGAGATTTAAAAATGAAAGTAAGAAAAATATGGAACTAATAAATACAACTAATGACTGATTTTATTTTCAAAAATAGCAAAATAGATAAACCTTTTCTTAATTTGACTGAAAAAAAGAAAACCAAATTATCATTATCAAAAATGAAAAGAGTGAATTCACCACCAATGAAGAGGAAATTAAAGCAATTTTGCCCAACTGTATGCCAAAAATCTGACAATCTAAGTGAAATAGATAAATATTTACAAAAAATGTAAATTGTCCAGATTAACAGAAGATGAAATGAAACACTTAAATAATCTCATTTTAGGAAAAAAGACACATGAACAAGCTACCAATGAACTCCCTAAGAAAAAATCTCCAGGGCCAGATGGATTTACAAGTGAATTCTACCAAACATTTAAAGAACAATTAATTCTGATATTATATAAACTACTTGGAAAAATAGGCAAAGAAGGAGTTCTACCAACTTTCTTTTATGACATGAATATGGTGCTGATACCTAAATCGAGAAGAGCCAAAACAGAGAAAGAAAATTATAGACCAATTTCCCTAATGAGTATTGATGCAAAATTTTAAATAAAATATTAGCAAAGAAATTACAGCAACTTATTATGAGGATAATATGCTATGACTGGTTGAGATTTATACCAAGAATGCAGAGCTGGTTCAATAGTAGGAAAACAATTAGCATAATTGACCATATCAGTAACAAAACTCATACGATCATTTCAATAGATGCAAAAAAAAAGCTTTTTACAAAATACAGCACCCATTCCTATTAAAAACCCTAGACAGTATAAGAATAAAAGACAATTTTCTTAAAATGATAAGTAGTATCAATCTAAAACCATCAGCAAGCATTATATGAAATGGGGATAAGCTAGAAGTCTTTCGAATAATGTTGGGGTAAAATAAGGATGCCCATTACCACCACTATTATTTAATTTTGTACTAGAAATGTCACCTTTAACAACAAGAGAAGAAAAAGCAATGGAAGGAATTAATTAGACTAAGCAATGAAGAAACAAAACTATTGCTGCTTCAAGATGATATGATGGTATACTTAGAGAGACCTAGAGAATCAACTAAAATAATTTGTAAGAATACAAGTCATTCTCCAAATGATAAATACTCAAAGTATATGAACAGGCAGTTTTCAGATGAAGAAATTAAAGCTATCTATAGGCATATAAAAAAAAGTCCAAATCACTAGTGATCAGAAAAATGCATAATAAAAAACACTCTGAGATACCACATCATGCCTATCTAATTGGCTAATATGACAGAAAAGGAAAAATGATAAATATTCTAAAACATTTGGGAAAATTAGGAAACGAATGCATTCTTGGTAGAGTTGTAAATTGATGCAACCAATCTAGAGCAATTTGGAAGTATGCCCAAAGGGCAATAAAACTACTCGGTCTGTATCCGAAAGATATCATAAAAAAGAGGAAAGGATACATGTACAAAAATATTTATAGCAGCTCTTTTTGTGGTGACAAAGAATTGGAAATTGAGGGAATGCCCATAAATTGGGTAATGGATGAACAAGTTGTGGTATATAAATGTAATGGAATATTCTTATATTATAAGAAATGATGAGCAGGAAGATTTTGGAAAAAACTGGAAAGTTCTTACATGACTAGATGCTGAGAGAAGTGAGTAGAATCAGGAGAATGTTGTACATGGTAACAGTAACATTGTGTGATGATCAAATGTAATTGACTTAGCTTTCCTGAGCAATACCATGATCCAAGATAACTCCTAAAGTCTCATGATGGAAAATGCTATCCACATGCAAAGAAAGAACTGTGGAGACTGAATGCAGATCGAAGCAGGCTATTTTTTACTTTTTTTGTTGTTGTAGCTTTCCCTTTTGTTCTGTTTCTTCTTTCACAACATGACTAATGTGGAAATATGTTTACATGATTGCACGTGTATAGCCTACATCAGATTGCTTGTCATCTTGGGGTGGAAGGAGGAAAGGGGGGAGAAAAAAATTTGAAATTCAAAAATCATATAGAAATGAATGTTGAAAACTATCTTTACATGTAATTGGGGGAAAAAATGAAATACTGTTTACTGAAAAAGAAAAGAAAAGAAAATGCATTGGAACGTGCCAGCTCCCAAAACTGAGATGATTGAAAAACTCTTCACTTCTCTGGTTCAGTAGCAGCAAGGATGTACACCAAGCAAGCTATCTGAGGAGCTTTCCTCTTTGGAGATTAACCTCATCATTCAGCAGGAACATAAAGGGAATCTTTACACGTTGGGCGGGGAGATAAGGTTGTTTACTTGCTGTGAACATAGCATCACAGTCTTGTGAAATTATGCTAAAATGGGCATGGGGCTTTTATGATAAGCCCTTGGACTCCTCCCTGCCAGGGATGGCACCACAAATGCAATTTATGGCTGCAATGGTTCTCTCCTGCAGAATGCTGACAAGAAGAATGGTGCATGAGCTAGAAAGAAGTGTGCTTCACATGTCTGCCTGTGACCACGCATTCATTTATTTCTCTGGAGAAGAGTTGATGTTTACTATTGTGGGCAAAATTTCCCAAAGTGCATAATCACGGGGCTTAATAGACAATATATTTTAGAGATACTTTGTGCCTACCCTTTATAAACCTCATCACTGAGATTTATGAGGTGTTCCCTTTAGTTTGTATACTGTATATGCTAGTGAGTGCTAGGCTCCCAAGAGGTAAAGGGGACTACTCTGACTTCCCTTGAATTTAAGGATGGCTCCTCACAATAGTAAACAAACACTTGGGAAGGGAATGAGTTCCTTAGAGTCATAGTTGGAGTTTTTTTGTTTTGTTTTAAGTGAGATAACATGGCTCCTTTTCTCTTTCCTCTCTCCATTGCAGTATTTTAGCCCAACATGGAATCAGAGGAGTAGGGTTGAAATATCCCCTTGTGTGCTCACTATCTCTGTGATATTAGGCCCCCTTCACTTCCCTGGGCCTCATTGTCATCATTGATACAGTGAGGAATTTGGACTAGCCGACTTCTGAAGCCCATTCCCACACTAGGACTACGATCCCACGAATGGATGGGTTTTGCCACGTTCTAGATAAAGCACCTGTCTGGTGCCATGTTGGAAGCCAGACCAAGCAGCCAGCACTCCCTTCTATTCCAGCTGCCCCTTGATTGAGCTATCAGGAAACAAAAGTGTTTGAAAGGGAGGTGTCTCTTGGAAGCATAGGAAGCTCCCATCAGGTGACAGGATAGAGATTTGCTAAGTTTGTTAACGGAAAGACGATCCTCAGAGGAGCTCCAAGTAGGGGGCAGAAATGGTCAGCCCTGAGACACCCCCAAGGCTCCGCAGAAGCTCTGGCCATCAGCCAAGCTCTTTTCAGGGGAAGGGAGAGGATCCGACATGAGGGTGCTGTTCTACTGTGCTGGGAACAGGCCCTCCTGCTTGGGCCTTTTTTTACCTTTCTGAAGCCACTTGAACCTCGCTGTGTCTCTCCACATTTGTAAAATGTGAAGGTTGGGTGAGATGATCTCTGAGATTCCATCCAGGCCTAGATCTGTGATCTTACAAAGTGCTGCTCCGTACAAGGAGTAACAAAACCCTTGGAGATGACACCTGAGGCTTTCATAGAGAGCTCTGACTTCATGGAGGGGTGGAGGAGTGGTCAACAGCACAAAGCCCCAAAGAGCAGTTGAGAGAAATAAGGCATGATTAAAGCCTCCTGGATTTGGCTGAAAAGAAATCAGAGCTGACTTTCAACGAGCCTGGGTCAGTGGGATGTCAGCAGGAGTGCAGGATGTGAGGAAGGGTGTTGCTCGTAAGGAGACAGAGAGGACCAGCCTGCCAAGCTCTGCAGTAAGAGTTCATTTTACCTCTGCAACCATTACCTTTACTTGATTGATGAGACATCTCTCCAAAGTAGATGAAGCAGATATTTCTGCCATTTTAATTATTAAAAAAACTGTGACTCAGAGAGAATAAGGGGCTCTTTATATCTCTAGGTAATACAAAGACTCTTCTCTGAGAATCCTGAAAGCATTACATTCCTTCATTCATGACATTTAAATAATTCTAATATTTGATTTCAATGAATGGTGTCTTTAGGTAACCCGTCTCCTGCTGAAATTTGGCGCCGATGTGAATCTAAGTGGAGAAGTTGGCGATCGGCCCCTCCACTTAGCATCTGCCAAAGGATTCCTTAATATTGCAAAACTCTTGATGGAAGAAGGCAGCAAAGCAGATGGTAAGATATTATTTTTAGCCAACAGAAAACTGAAATGGTGGCTTACAAATTGTACTAGCATTAGGTTGTTAAAACAAATCAGACTGGTTTTGTTATATCTATATTTTTAAAGTTTCTTTTTGAGTTTCTTTGACTGACCCTGAAATTGCATCTCTTTCTGGAGCTCCCTGTGAATAGCTTCCTCTAACAAAGCAGTGGCTGTCCTCCTCTGAAGCTGCCTTTGGTACTAAGGTTACATGACTTATCCAGGTCATCCAGCCAGCACGTGTCAGAGGCTTGATTGGAGCCTGCCTCTAAGATCAGCTCTAGTCTAGCCACTATTTGCTGTTGCCTTTCATAAAAGGGCTTTACATCAGTAATTTCCTTAAACCCTGGGATTAAAGGAATATTGAATTTATGGAATGCTTGATGCCTCTAAAACAGGTCTTCTTAACTTGGGGTCCATGAACATGAATAAGAATAATGAATTGTTTTTCACTAGACTCAGTTTCCTTTGTACTCCTATACATTTAGGTCCCAAGGCTTCCCCAGGATGCCCAAGGGCTCCATGACACAAAAATATCAAGAATCGCAGCTTAGGAGGAGAGGAGGAGCCTCTCACTCTTGTTGGACATTGCCACTACCACTCCTTCCCCCATCAGAGAACGTGCTCTTTGAAGGCAGGGACGCCACCTTTCTTTTTCACTCCAGCACTTATCACTTAGCACCTTTCCTTAGTCAGCACCTCATAAATGGTTTGTAACTTGACTTGTGTGCCATCCCAATTCTGGTCAGAGCCTGGCACATAGCAAGTGCTGAAGAAATGTTTGTGGATTGATTGACACCTCCTGATTTCTGCTTTTAAAGAGCATCAAACTCTCACATGACTTGGTGAAGCTTCCTTTTGATTTTTAAAATGTGTAAACTAGAGGATATTCCCAGAGATCACATTATTTGGTTTGGGTTTTGTCATGAAAACGTGTGCTTGAGTATGACGCGGAGGAAGATGTTCTAGGGCCATGGGGCAAGGCTAGCTTTAGACAGTTCTCATCCTATGGGCCATTTGTGGGATTGTTCAGAAGCAGAAAAAGCATAGTCTGGCCCACACCCCTGCCCATACCCTCCCCTTTTTGGACCCAAGTTCTCATAGTATTGATCTGCTTGCTCTGCAGTCCCTTCAGGCATGTCGAAGCCAACCTTCTTCCATTGACCCCCAAGAGACCTAATTAAAAACACAGCTGCAAAGGCTGTTGGCCTTTACTACACATTACAAAAATGGACAAGATTGTCAGACCTCGGCAACTGCCAGCTTCTTGCTCCAGAGTACGGATTGATTTCCAGTTAATCCAGCTAATCAGTGGTTTCACCTTTTCCTAATGAAAGCCCACAGCTCCAACCAGAGAAGAAAATAGGAAAGGAGGCCAAGGCTATTGTTATTCTAGTAAAAGAAAATAGGGTGTGTGTGTGTGTGTATGTTTAAAACTGTAATAATATGCAGCTTTCTATGTTGTGACATGTTTGCTTAAGACAATCAGGTGTTGCAATTAGCATAGAGCACAATTCCTTTATAGAAGGGATTGTGTCCTTGGGATTTGGGAGCCATTCATTTTTTCTGGTGGAGAGCAAGGGTTGTTATTCAATCTATGCAGTTGTGTTTGACTCTTTCTGACCAGTTTACTATACTGTCCATGTTTTTTTTTTCTTCTTCTTCTTTGTTGTGTTTTTAACAAAGATATTGGAGTGGCTTGGTATTTCTTTAAATGACTTGCTCAAGGTCACACAGCTAGTAAGTGTCTAAGTCCAGATTTGAACTCAAGTCTTCCATGACTCCAGGCCCAGGGCTCTATCCACTGTGCCACCTAGCTGCTGGAGAATAAGGAGAGCTTTTCTTCTATCCATAAATTAATTGGTCAGTCAACAAATGTGTATTGTCCTTCTTTGACCTCTCTTGTCTCAGTCACTTAATCAATACATCTAGAAAGGGCTTACTATGTGTCAGGCACTGCACTTCACTCTAGAGATACAAAGTCATAAATGAAACAAACAGGCCCCACCCTCAAAGAGCTTCCATTCTAATTGGGATCAGGAATTTCCTCCACTCCACTTCTTACTACTCAAATTAACTTCAAGCCTTCTCCCCTGATCACCTCTGAGGCTCCATGATGTCAGAACAAATGTCACTTATGAAGGGCATGTCCTCAGGATCAAAAAATCCTTCTGCAAAAGGACTGAAAGGTGTAACACACCCACGCCCCTCCTACGCTCCAATATCAGACCTCATAAATTTAACATTTTCTCTAAGTCTCATGCGTGCATTATATGCCTCCTACTCTCTCATTTTTAAAAATGTGGAGCCAGCATGACTCAGGTTTCTAAGTGTGTTTCCCTCCCTCTTCAAGCATAACCTTGATATTTAAGACCTGTTTGCGCCGAACCATTACTGCAAAAAAATAAACCAAAGGAGCCATGGGCCCCTGCCCACCAGAGTGCAGCACTTAATATTCGTCCGTTTATTTATTCTGAAAAGCAGGCTAAGCTTCCAGATGATTTGGTTTAGACAGGACCTTTGCCACAGAAAATGTACGGAAGGGAAAGATGAAATGAATGACCCGTAAAGAAGCACAATTTGAAACCTGGTATTTACAGGGGGTTGTCATGGTAACCCAGAATGTCACAAACACTTTAGAATGAAAATAAATTCCAGCTATAAAATTAACCAACTGTAATTCTGAAAATAGCCACCAAGGTTCAGGATGTTGGGAAGACTAGCCTATTCTGAGTCCTACGTTTTAACTGTCTGGTCATCCTCCTCTGAGTTCTGGGGTCAGCGACACCAACAAAATACAATACCCTTTCCCCTTCCCCCAAGGTGAATGAATGAGCCAAAAGGTAGCTGAACATTGCAAAGTGAGGTCTTGCGATTTTCCTTTCTCATCAAGATGAAAAAAGGCCTTTTCGACTATGGAAGAGGGTCACTGGGCTATGTGAGCAGAGGGAGACATGCCACAGTCTGTGTAGAGGCCTTGATCTTTTTCACCCAGTCCCTTTGACATGCAGCAGCCCAGGAAGGAATTCTTCATGCTGCGACCAAATAAATGCAAGCTGCTTTTGTGACGAGTGTCTGGATGTAGGTATTCCATTTCGATAGTGTTCTTTCCTACTAAAAGCTCATTTAGAAGAGCAATTAAGGGAGTAATTTGCCCCTGAGAACAGCTTTCTCTTGTCTTGAAGTCAACTTTTAATATTTTTCAGCTAATAATAGTGATGACTATGGAAGAAGACGGTGACAGCAATGATGACAATCATGATGATGATGATGATGATAATGACAATAGCAATAATATAATGCCCAACAGCAAACCAAAATGAAAATGCTAGCATAGAATATAAACTGGGATGGAATGACTTTGCAATTTAAATGTTCTCATCCACATTTTTCCTGATGATATTTTCTCTGTTTTCTGTAATTTTGGTCAATCAATTGATCAACAAGCATTGATTAATTGACTGCTATGTGCCAGGAACTGTGCTAAGAAGCAGAACAGTCCCTTCCCCCAAGAAGCTTACATTCTACTGGGGAAACAACATGTGTAAACCTATCATTCCACAAAGTACTAGAATTTGAATTAGACTGGACCCAGGATGTCATTGGTGTTGAGAACTCCTAGTGAACTAAGTCCTTCCCCCAAAGAAGATTAGCACCAGCCCTGGAGCTTTGGAGCTTAGAGTTACCTTTGACCACTGAGAGGCTGTTATTGCCATAGGGATACATACCTGAGTATATGCCCAAAGTAAGATTTGGCCTCAGATCTTTCTGATCACAAAACCAGCTCTTTACATATTCCTCTGCTCAATTGTTCCAACTTAAAAAAAATGCACAAAGTAAATTCAAAATAACTTCAAGTGTGGCACTGGCAGCTGACAGACCAGCCATGGTCTCATAGAGGAGGGGGCACTTATTCTCATTTGCACTATAACTCCTAAAATTGAGTCTCTCAAACTGCTGCCTGAGAGTATGGGAAGTGAATGAGAACCATGTACAGCTCATCGCCTGAGATGACTCCCGGGTGACACTAAGTCAGGAGGGCATCAGCTCATGGGTGTTACAGCTGGGAAGGGTTTGTGATGTGTGTTTCATGGGACTGAAGGCCAGCCAGATAGAAACCTAAGGTAACATAGACAGTGAGTGACAGAGCCAGGATTTGAACCTGAGTTATCCGATGCCAGACTTGGGGCTCTGTCCTTCCCATATGAGTAGGGACCCTATTACTCTCTCTATTTGTCCACCCTATTTACTATACTATCTGTTTTTGTTCCCAGTGCTTCACACTTTTCTTGACACCTAGTAGGCACTTAATTAATGTTTTTTATTCATTCATTCATTCTTAATTACTACAATTAGTCAGAACTGGTAGCAAAGTAGGAAAGAACACACCAGAATCCTTCACTAGAGATAGCAGCATGTTGTTACTAAAATAGAAAAAAAAAACTAATGAAATTCAAAGGAGAAAAGACCATTGAAGAAGGGTCTAAGTACTTTAAGCAAAAATGATCTGAACTTCCTGCATTGGCTACAACAATCCTCCATTGGACACAATCCATTGGACATGCTCTTTGGTAGTGATACTAAACATTTTTGAATTTTCTCAACAAAAACCTTTTTCTGTTTACCGGATTCAAGCAAAGTCCTACATGTCATAGTACTGAAATTAGGTCCAAGATGAAAATTTAACTGCTACTCTCAATCACTTGAGATGTTTGTCATACAATGTGGTTTAGTAGAAAGAATTCTGGGCATAGAAGCAGGAGGTCTGCATTCAGATTTTGGCTGTGAGACTTATTAGATGTGTGACTATGGTCAAGTCATTTAACTTCTTGAAGTCTCAGTTTCCTCATCAGTAAAATGATGATAATCATGTTTCCACCGCGAACTGGATAACATTGCTGAGAACAATACTGGATAAGATATAAAATGTGAGATGATAATGATGGTGATGATGATGATTACAAGATGATATGGA